GCTTCTGTCGTGCCGACTGTAAACCTCAGACATCTCAATAGGTCAACTGTAACCGACTGAAAGAAAACCAGCAAACTGTGACTATCTTTAAATCTATTTGTCTTACCTCAGAGGTCTGTACTAAAAAGGCAGATAAGCTGGTTAGCAAGGTATGTTTACCATGAAGCTCTCTCTACCACAGCTGATGTGGGATCTGTTTTTGGATTCATGGTGTATCTATCACAATGATTATAGGGTGATGCTGGCCTTCAGGTTTGACTTTGAAAATCCCTGATGGGCAAGCCCAGCGCCAAATAGACTGAGAGTTACGTCATCTCCGTTCACTCCAATGGACCACTTTTTTCCAGCAATGGCGGATCGTGGAGCCTCTCAATCGTTCCCCGGAAGTTAGCGCCAAGGCTAGCAGAGCTGTCGAGTTGCAGCATAATAGACCGTTCGTGACGGACTTTTAAAGGTAAGAAGAAGTTTAAAGATTTATATTGCGGATATTATCAGTACATCTGATTCAAATTAACATGTGTATTAAAGGATGTCAGTGGATTATCCCTAAATTAGTAGATTTAGGGAACGTTTACAGATAACAGATTAAGCTAGGATACCGGATCAAGTTAGCAACACACGTTGAACAGCCTTTTAATTGTAAATTCCCTTCTCTTAATGTAATTTCGTCCAACGTTGTTGAATTAGAGAAGAGGGGCTTCTAAACGGGATTGTATGCGGGGGTGGAGGGAGTTAAATATTAGATAAATATAACTTTGGTGCGTGTAAGAGTGAGTGTTTTTAGCAGAGCCATATTGTGTCCTTGTGATTATGTTGATCATTACCTGTCTGTATAATGTTGCAGCTCAGCTGATTTTGGATTGATGGCAAAGGGAGAGGGACTTAAGTGAGAGTGAAAACACAAGGTAAGTTTAATACTACTGTTTTATATAAGTAAACACCTTATCTCCCCAAGGCAATTTCCCATCCAATAGGTGTGCTATATAGGTGTGTATAACCCTTTCTCCTGTCTGTTACTCCCTCTTTCAGCACAAGAACCAGAGGGGGATTCAATGGAGCCTGAATACCTGTACTGAGACCCTCACCCTGCACCCTGAGTCTCAACTCTGTGTTTTTCAAGCCTTTCCCTGTTTTTTTGTATTAAACAAAACATTAAGCTTTCCCAATGGTGTGGTTTTCGTTTTGTGAAAAAGTGCAAATGCAGTGTTTGTATATAATTACGTCACATATTTTTTTTACTGTTGGTCGTGAAATTGCTCCTGCTGACTTGAGCCAGCCATTTTTCCTCCGCTCTGTGTCAGTGGGGAAGCCGTACATTCGTACTCCTTTCTCGGAGCGATTTGAGCATCCCCAGGCAGCACAGCAAACCATGGTGGCGACTAGGAGGCAGCACAGCAAACCAGGACAACACTGAGGAAAAGGCACAGACAAACTGCATGATATGCTATTCAATGTTTATTGAATTCCATGTATTTGCAATGGATGTTCCTAAAACAACACATTTAACATCATCATCATCATCATGCTGCTGCTGCTGCTAGTCCTTTGTAGTCACCTGTCGGTCTCCTGTCCTTTCTGAAAGCCATAGATGACATTAGTCATTTAGATAACTTGTGTCCTCAATTACCAGGGCCCAGGAGTTCAAAACTTTTAATCCAAATCTGATCAGATCAGATTTGGATTTTGGGGAGTTCAAAACCAAAAAACAGGATTAGGATCGCTTTGATATCCGATCAGATCAGGAAATCCAATCCAAGCTTTAATCTGGATCAAATCTTCAAAACGGGTAGTTCAAACCGACAACACAGGATTGGGATCAGTTTGATCCCAAAAAACTGGATTATCCTGATCCCACCAGAGGGGTGGATTTCCAGTGGATTACCAGAGCAACATGTACTGTACAATTTATTTTAAAATATGTTTCAATTTAAATTAGATGGCAAAGTTTGTTAACTGAAATAATACACAATTTTTAGCCTTCATGGGAAATACATTTTATTTTTTCCATTTTTGCTCACGTTTGTGGTGGCCTATTTTGTTTTCAACCAAATGTTGATGACATAAATGTTTATGCTCATAAAAGTATCACAACAAAGATTGTCAATCACAAATGTAATTTAGATTAAATTAAAAATATCTTCAACAAAAAAAAAGTCCATCATCTGTCATCACCTTTCAAAAGTAATTGCGGACAATAGATGTCTCTGCAATGTGGTCTCTTGTCTTCCTTGTATTCTTTTTCATATCCACTAGATGCCGATCGGTAGGATTAAAGCACTGATATTCAGGATCTAGTCATCTTGAAAAATCGTAATCTGGATCAGGGTGATCCTATCCTGAATTGCTTTGAACTCCAGGGACAACATTTGGCCGTCTGATCCTGGATCACAAAAAATGGGATTTCAAAATCTGATCGGATCTGATTGAGATTAAAAGTTTTGAACTCCTGGGCCCAGGGGATTACTGAAACTACCATGAATTTAAGAAAATGGTAGAAATTAATCTAATCTGAATTTTAAAGCATTACTTTAGATCCCCTCCCTCTAAATATATCAATACACATTAGAAAGTGATGCTCCTGACTACCATACAAGTTTAAGAAGATAATATTGGTTTTAAAGAATTCAAAGCTATAAATAAACAGCAACAGGCTCTTTAACCAAGGCACTGTTAGCCTAACATGTAAACTAGTTGTTCACACTAATCCTAATATTATCACTTAATATTAGCAAATTCTATTTTATTTTTTAAAACATATTGATGTAAATACATACACATCGATTTGTTGTATAAATATTGCAAATCAAAACCTTTATTCACTAATAATTACCAAAAATCGTAGTTCTATCTCCTGTTATCAATGCATTCACATTGCCCGCCATGAACTTCCGAGGAACGATCCTCGTCTACATGAACCACGTGACGATAACCGTTTTTGGACTTCCGTGGGAAAGCCTTATCTGCTGCTGATGTTTAACCAGATGCTATTTGTATCGCTTTATAAAAGATCATCTGAACACTAGAATAACTGCGGTGGTACTGACAAAGGGAGAGCCTTAAAACGTGGGCTATGTTCATTTCATTTTCATTTCAAACCTTTATTTATACAGATAAATCCCATTGAGATCATTGATCTCTTTTTCAAGGGAGACCTGCTCACCTGCTCGTTCCCAATCTTTCACCTTTCTTGATTGCATCATAATCCTTTTAAAGAGGATCTGAACCAAACCAATTTGTTTTGTTAGGTCTGTAGAATATCTCTGCAGCTTCACAATACTTCATTCAAAAAGGTATTTTGAGTAATTTAGCGTTCAACAAATATTGCGATTTCCATAACATTTGAAATAATAATAATAATTAATAATTGTGCAGCACTAGAGCAGATGCAACAGGACATCCTGTTTCGGTTGTTAGCATACTGCTGTTGACAATATGGGTTTTTCTGATGAAAAGATGCAGGAACAAAAAGTTGGTGCCAATGTAAAATGCAGAGGATGACCACGGCTACAAGAGGGGGGTCTCTTTAAAATGCTTTATTGATAAAGGCCATTTTAGGTCAAACACTATTTTGATGTTTCACCTTAAGAGCCCTAGAAACACTTCCTGTCTTCTGTTCTGTGCACCAATCAGCATTATCAACATGACATCACACCCACACAGTCCTGATGAGGCAGAGCGAGGAGTGTTCACTCGTAAGAAATAATACCTAAAGATGATTGTAACACTAGCTTTGACCTTTTTGTCAGAAATCTCACATATTTGGTGAATTATTTTTCAGGGGCTTTAGGTCAGATAGCAATGACCTGTCTGTGCCTTCAGTAGAGAAGATGCTAACCAAGATTAGCATAAAGACTGTAGTCCCTGGAAACCTAGCCTCTATCAAACGTAAACAAAAGCAAGCTCTTCAGCAACATGTCCTTGCTATAGTCTAGTTGCCAGCAATGTGAACAAATACATGTTGAGTATACCTAAAAGCTTTGTTGCAGGAATATATAGTACAGCTCCCCTGCACATAGAATCTGCTGGATGCTAAATTGCATATGTTTGGCAATTTGCACTATTAGCATTATAGCATTTGAAAACAATAGTTGGCTTGGCCGAGTTGGACCATTTTGGAGTGGTTTTGGAGGTCATCAAGGATGCTGAATCCATTTCTGAAATTGTAAGGATCAATAATGGCATTTTTAGACAGAAAGTGGCCATATTTGTGGACTGATTTTGATTAATGTTGGGTCGAATTTGAAGTTTGAATGGACTCTGGATCATTTGGATTGGACAGATTGCTTATCTATTTGAAAATAATTGTCCACAGTAGAGGAAATTATTTTAGGTTTGTACTCTCTAGTTACAATGGTCACAACCTTAGTCCTGGTAGTCAAAATCAGTCCACGAAAGTACAAATGCAACCAAAAACTGCAATATTTGATTCTGAAATTGATCCTTGACTTCCTCAATAACTCCCCAAACCACTCCAAGATTGTCCAAATCAGCCAAAACTGTGTTCTTAACTATTGTTACATATGCTATAATGTTAATTCATGCTAATTCAGGGTATATGCAGGAATCCTGAAGTCAAATGTAATACCTTTTAAGACCTTTGTTAAGACCCTTTCAATACATTTTAAGACCTCATCGCCACTTTGAGTTTTAACCGGTTACATTGGCGACACACTTTACTATATACAGTATTGATTGTCCTTCCTCCTTATCTTCCAACCATTTGGACGCTAACTTGCATTTCCCATAGGCATTTCCCCATAACGATGTTGTTTAACAACCGGTGTAAACGGGCCTCCGCGTGCTATCAAGCAGTGAGCGTGCGATGTCCTGTTCAGATGACGTCAAATCCAACGGGATGCCATAAATAAACTACACAGAATCACACTACACACCTACGCAATGATTACATTCAGGCAGACTGTAGAATACAACCTCTTTGGACGATGTATATACTTATTGAAAACAAGCTACAAAATGTAATACCTTGGAAAATGCCTTAATTTTTGCTAAATTGTATTATCAACTTTTAATATTTCTTAATTTAAGACCCCGCGGACACCCTGTAATTAACACAACTTGTGCTAATTGTGCGATTGCCCAACATATGCAAGTTAGCACCGGGCAGTTTCTATGTGCTGGGGACCCATACTTTACATTTCTAACATCAAATGTTGGGGTACTCACTATAGGACTTTATGAGCTGGCAAACAGACTACTCCGCTAAACAGTGACTGTGACTTCTATGATAGAGGAGCATCTCATCCAAAGGCACAGAAGTCAATGCTCAACAGGAAATCCTTTATGTTCATTCATGAGTCAAATGAAGAAATACAAGTCCTTTAACTTTGGCTTAAATGAGTCAGACATTGTGTTCTTAAAATATTTGTCTTAAAAATTGAAAAACGTGTTAGAATCAGGAGAGGAACTCCAAAACCTGTCACAGCAAAGAAAATAGAACAAAAGAAAGAATATCCCAAGTTAATGTTCGTTCTAGAAATCCGCATCACATCAATCATTTGGTGGCTGGTCGCTCTCTTCCTGTTGAGGTGGTCTCTACGTGCACACACTGACCATCTCCCAGCACATCACAGGAGAGCTTTACTGTGGAGAACATTTGGACTCTGATGAGACCAAATGTTGGTCAACCTTTTAGACATAGAAATGTATGACCTAATCTGGTTTAGTCTCAGCAGGGGGGCAGACATGTGACCGCTCAGTGTGCACGTAGAGATGTAAAGATATAGAGTCTTGTTCAAAGTGGCTGAACCTGAAGCTTTGTGGGAGGCTGAGGAGAGGAGCTGATCTCTCTTTCTGTGGGGCTGCCATTCTTCTTTTCTTCCTTTGTCTCCTCCCTCGTCTCCTCTTTCGTCTCCTCTTTCTTCTCCTCGCCGTTCACCTTCCCGTTCTCCTCAGCTTTCTGTTTCTCTGCTTTGGTCTTAAACCTCAGCCCGTGGCCTGTGAAGCAAATGTTGGATTATTTACACAGTAGTATATACACTAGGGCTGCTCGATTATGGCAAAAATCATAATCTCAATTATTTGGGTCAATAATTGTAATTGCGATTATTCATTGACTTTGAAAACATCCATTTATTGGAGAATTTTTTTTTAACAGTATGTTTTAACAGTTGATTACCCTGAACTTTAAGTATAATTCAACTGAAAAACCAAAAAAATATATATATAAAAAAAAAAGTAATAATACAAAAATAATCGTTTTATTTCGATTACGTTGTTTTCGTAATCGTTGCAAGCCATTATCGTAATCGCGATTAAAATACGATTAATTGAGCAGCCCTAATATACACACAAGCAGGGTTCGAGTTATGTGGGAGCCAATGGGAGCTGAGCTCCCATAAGGAGGGTCTGAGCTCCCACGACGCAGTGAAATCATACATCTGTGGGGTCGCTAATACATTACCAACAACCATTATTTTAATCACAAGTATTATTTACGTTAACGAGGTAAATAGGCTAAAAGAAAAACATGTTTTCCAAAATATATAACTGGTGATATAACTGGTGCGCAGGTGCGCATGCGCGATTATATTGATATAATCATCAATACGCATCTCTTGAATGACAATATGCCTGCACTGCACCTCCAAGGTGCGCAATACATTATTGCGCAATCTATGCCTGTGATCGGAGAGGGGTCTGCCTGCAGACCTCCAATCTCAGGACAGTTCCGGTGCAGACCTCCACTCTCAGGACACCTCCACTCTCAGGACAGGAAGTGCACGCTAAGAATTCCAAAATAAAATCACCACTATCTGTACAGTGCCACTTTCCAAACAGGAAATGCACGCAAATACAAAATAAAATCGTACTGACACTTATTATCTATATATATAAATACGACATCTTGTATTTTAGTTACACCCGCCAGACAACAGTGGAAGGTTCGAGAAACAACCGTGTTTGCCGGGTGCACCGCGGCGGAGGTGGGGAGGTTCCAGCTGGGAACCTCCACCCCGCTGCGGGACCCGTGGGACCACTGCGTCTTGGTCACGATTCATATCGGCCGGCCCGGGAAGGAAGAGACACACAGAGTGGGGGAAGTCCCCCACCCCAACGCAGCACACCCTCCCGGCCATCAGAGTCGAACCCGCAGTTCGGAGGAACCGACCGCCAGAGCACCGGCACCAGGCCGGAACGGCGCGGAGGCCCTCCGACAGTGGGTCGCGTTTGCCATTCGATCAGTGAGAGGAGAGGAGAAAACCAGGTGAAAAGGCCAAAAAAATTAAAAATAATAAAACCGGGGAAAAGTGAAAAAAAGTGTCCGAAAATAGGCACTCATGAGGCGGGCAGAGTCCCCTGTCAACTCCCGTTACATTCCTCCATGGTGTCATTTGAGCGAAAAACTTTTACAAGAACCAGGCTGGGGGGGTCAAAATGGCTTGACCAAGGTGCACGGTGGGCGTGATGAGTCTCCATTGTGATTTGAAAACTTCCATCAAACGAGTCCTTCGGTGGGCGGGAAAAAAAACGCGTCGGAATCGTCACTTCCTGTACTGACAGTGGAGGTGTCCTGAGAGTGCAGCCTGCACCGGAACTGTCCTGAGAGTGGAGGTCTGCAGGCAGGCTCCCATGTGTGATCGTGCTGCGCGAGCCGAGATGATGTGTGTGTGCGCGTAGTTGAACCTTTTCATATTTAAATTTGTAGCCAGTAGAGAGCTGCTGCTGTATGTGTGAGTGTGTGCAGGCCCACCGGGAGGTTTCCCGTGGCGCGAGCGAGAGAGAGCGCGCACTGGTTACTTTTATTGTTGTTGTTAGCATCTGGTGCTAGCTAGCTACGCTAATGGATTTAGGGAGATGTTTCAACCAACAACAAGGTGGAGGGAGAGCTCTCTACTGTCAGACTGAGAGCCTCTGATAACTACAGCTCAGGTGAGGTTAAGGACTCTCTGGGTGTTTAGATAGTTAACTTAGTCTAAGTTATCTCAGTGGGTCTCTAACGGTTTGGTCATAATTTATGTAAACACATATTTCCATTTGAGCGGGGAGTGATTAGTAAAATATGCATGAATAAAAAGAAAGAAAATGTTAACTAGGGGAAAAAAGGCAAGATACACTTGTAAAGTCTTTGCTGCTGCCTCAAATACCTCATTCACACCAACGCAACTCCAGTTCAAGCTCCGTGCTAGAGTTTTTCAGGTTCAGAACCGGTTCTTCGGTTTAGCGGAGGCTCTTTTCACACCGCCCAGAGTCCGACTGGTGCTGCGTCATTGCGTCATCGTTTGCGTCATGACGTAACCGTTTGCGTGCCTGCTTCATAAAGCCAAACCGCGCGGAAACCCCTCACAGTTGACACCGACAACAACAACAATGGCCGATTGTGCTCCAGCTTCCTCTGTACCTCTTCGGAAGACCAGATTCCCAGTAGGTAGCTGGTCTCTTCAGTGGACCACTGCTGCTTGTTAAGTTTCTCCATCGTTGTGTACAAGCTGGATAAAATGCGGGCTTCTTGTTGTTGTTCAGGAGTTGATCCCGCCCCTGCCCCCGCCTCGACGTAAGCGTGACGTATGTGGTGCTTTTGCTCTGGCCGGACAATTTGTTGGTGCTTGAAACGAACCGGATTCCGGAGCTAAGAGGCTGCGGTGTGAAGAGGAAAACCCGGTGCTTTTAAAGCTCCAGCTCTGAACTGGCCCCGAAACACCGTTGGTGTGAATGAGGTAAAAGAGGAGCAGGGGGAGAGGAGGAAGACAGGTGAGGCTGGTTCAGGAGCCCAGACACACTTGCAACTTTAAATGAACCGAAAATAAATAAATAAATAAGTTTCAATGTTTTTTTAATATTGGTTATGGCCATGTTCTTATGATTATTTAAATGTAGGCGAGTGCCTGTTTTTCCTTGAACACAACACAAGCTTAACGTGTCATCACGTGGTATATGTCTCGTCTGACAGGGGTGCAGTTCTGACGGAGAGCACCAGGCCGTCGCTCCGCCACTTCCAAAAATTGCAGTACCCATAAGGAGCCGTACACATGCCACAGTTTTTGCGTGGCTGTGTCTTTAGTTGAAAGCCCAGTGGCGATCTGTTCATCTGTCATACTGATCATACAGTCAATAACTTTGTTGTTATTAGCATCTGGTTAGCTAGCTATGCTAACGAATATAAGAAGCTTTTTCTAAAGCCAGCAGTGTTGGGCAAGTTACTTTTAAAAAGTAACTAGTAATAGTTACTGCTCTCAAAAAAGTAACTAGTTACTTTCTTAGTTACTAAATTCTAAAAGTAACTTGGAACAAGTTACTTTACTTTAAAAATAATAACAATAAAATTGAAAATGAAATGCTTTCACTGGTATTTTGCTTACTAGTTCTCTGAAGGCAACAGACTCGACCGTTGCGATGGGCAGCATGTCCTCAACAACATACCTGCCAATCAATCTGTTTAGTTGACTCTGGGTGACATGTGGCGATTTAAAAAAATCGTTTTTTGGCTGTTTAGATGGTGTTGCTCCATCTGGGTCACTGCCGGTGGTTGAGACGGTGGGGTCTTTGGCGACTAGTTTTATAGCCCCCATGTACATTACTTCGGTGCTTCAGGAGATTGGCATTGCTGTTTTTCAATGTGGACAATGCTTTCTGTCCTGCACACAGTTTACATTTTACCGTAATATTTTTTGCGTCCTTTATCCCCACAAATTGAAAATAGTGGTTATATTTCCAAGTTGCAAATGCACTGCTGCTCTCGCTGATACTTGCATCTGCCATTGTGTGTGTGTGTGTGTGTGTGTGTGTTGGTGGTGAGCGTTGCCGTGTGTGTGTGTGTGTTAGCATTAGCAAGTGTTCGTGTGTGTATTTTCCCCATAAGGCAAGACTCGCCCAACTCTGTCTATGATTGGCTTACCCTGAAATGTTACCCCGCGTTAACCAATCATCACTCCTCTCTGGTTACTTTCACTTTTCCATGGTGCTGTGAGAGGACATCGCTGTATTCGCCTATAAGTTACATCCGCAGCGAGATTCGGTTCAGTTGGATCACATAATGTAACGCAGTAACGCACCCATTTAAATCACAGTAACTATAACGGCGTTACTTAATGGGAATAGGTAACTAGTAACGATATTAGTTACCGCAAAAAGTAGTTGCGTTACAGTAACGCGTTACTTTGTAACGCGTTAGTCCCAACACTGAAAACCAGTGAGGTAAAGGCACATCTTTATATGATCATTATAGTTATATAAAATAAGAGAATAAAGTAAACAGGTATATGACAGTAAAAAAAAGTTGTTAATTAATAAACAAGAATACAGTTTGAAAGGGGAGTGATTTGTAAAATATCCATAAAGAAAAATGAAATCTGCTTACAGTTCTGTTTCATATGGATGTTGAGAGATGTATCCATAGATCTATTAATGTTGCTCTCAAAGTGCACCAGATTGATGCTTTTAACTTCAACATTTAAAAAAAAAAAGATCTTCCCGGGGAAGCATGCCCCCGGACCCCCCCTAGTTAGGTCCCCCCCACTTAAATCAGGAAACTAAATACATGTGCACACACCTTGTGTCCATATCTTTCTGTTTTGGTGGTCATGCCACACCGTGCACGTGCATGCATGCATGCACAAGTCGTGGTAAGATATCTGGATTAAGAGGTTGCTTTTTCTTTGCACAGCATGAAAGAAAGGCCAAATGAATGGGCTGTGATTTTAGTATTTTTAAGCAGAGGTCAATCATTTGTACGGCCCTCGGAGGAAATTGAAATGGCCCTTGAGAGGAAAAAGGTTCCCCACCCCTGTTTTAGGGCAAGGTTTGTGAATACTCTTACAGAATTAACATAATAAAAACGCATTAAAATCGAACTCATATGAGACCTTTAAACTGTAGCCTATGAGAAGCAGCTTTATGTGACTTTTTTGATTTTCACACAGCATATGCACTTTTCGGTTAGAAAACCACGAATGATAACCCCATTATCAGATACAGTAGCCGCTTTCACACCAAGTACTTTGCCGTACTTAGTTCCCAGCACTTAGTTCCCCCATGGAACTAAAGAGCAGATCGCGTTCACACCGGAGTACTTTTCCCTGAGGGAAGATTATGCAAATGAAGCCGCTGACGTCAATTCTTCTTCTTCTGCTTTGGGTTTACTGGCAGGCCGTAAACAACTTCACGGCGTATACTGCCACCCGAAGTCCCCGGCCGGAAGTCCCCGGAGTTGGGGACTGGCTTCTACTGAAGCCTTCCGAGTAAATCGCCAGAACGCCGACACCTCCTCATCACTCCACCGCTCCCATGTATTTTTGTGTTTCCATAAGTTAGTCTCTCTCCGTTGGTGCGCGGGGCTAATGCTAATTCTAATAATGCTAATGCCAGCAAATACAATGGCGGCTTCACAAAACTTTTCAGAGTTTTACGGGGTGTGGTTTGCAATTCGCCCAGCCCATCAGAAATTGGAACTTTTTTCTCCCCAGGAAAGTACCTGCTCTCTAGCAGGGACTGAAAAGGGGGGAAAAGTTCTCATGAATTAAGTTCTCTTTTTGGTGTGAACGCAAAATCCCAGGAACTATCGGAACTAAAACGGAAAAGTACGGGGAAAAGTACTCCGGTGTGAAAGCGCCTAATCTGAATAAAGCAGAACACTCACTTGGACAGTCTGCCACCTCCTTGTAGGCTTTCTTCTTGCAGCAGGCTCGACACAGGTTGAACACACATTTGTTCCCCTGCAGAGCACAACACAGAGCGTCAGGAAGCAAATGTCTTCTGATGCACGGGTATTGTGTTTTAACACAGTTCTTCAGGACAGCTTGGTGTCCTTATTGACATTACACACTGACCTTTGGGTTCCCACACTGCTCACACTTGACATACTTGGCTGTAAGAGAACAGAAGGACATTTCATTGGACGTTCTGTGGCCTTCTAGCATTTCTTCAGTTTGATGTTAGAGAGCATGACTCACGTTTCTGCTCGACACAGAAGTTCTTGTTGGGGTTTCGGGATTTCTTCTTCTGCTTGTTTTTGGAGAGCTGGTCAGCTGTTCCGTCAGAGTCCTCCAGCGCCCTCTTCTGACACATCGCCTTCATCACTTCTGGACCCCGTTTGTTACCGTAAGGAACCGGCTCCTCGGGACTAGGGCTGCTCGATTATGGCAAAATCACGATTATTTTGGTCAATATTAATATCACTATTATTATATACGATTATTCATTGACTTTAAAAGAAAATGTAAATAATATTTGAACAGTATCTTTTTAACAGTTGATTACTTTAAGTATAATTCAACTGCAAAGTATTCAGCTGAAGCCACATATTTTTCAACTTCCCCATGGCATTTGTCATATAGGGCAGGCAGTGCAGATCTGGTGAAATGATGCCGAGATGGCATCGCGTAACGCTTGTCCATAGTGTTAACCAGTTGTCCATAGTGCTAACCAGTTGTCCATAGTGCTAACCAGTTGTCCATAGTGCTAACCAGTTGTCCATAGTGCTAACCAGTTGTCCATAGTGCTAACCAGTTGTCCATAGTGCTAACCAGTTGTCCATAGTAGTGCTAACCAGTGTTAACCAGTTGTCCACAGAGGTGGGGACTCGAGTCACATGACTTGACTCGAGTCGCATATTATTGGACTTGAGACTTGCTTGACTAACATTGATAAAAGACTTGACTTGGTATTCATGACTTGAGACTTGACTTAAGCTTGAGACAGATGACTTGAAAGGACTTGACTTTTTAAAATTAAATATTTGCGTTTGTTTTTGTATTGAGATATTACGTTTAGTTGTTTCGAAATGTGATTGGGTGATTATAGCGCCATGCGCGCAAACCTGGCAACCCACTAGTAGGCAGGAGTGTCAGTTAACATGGCAGCGGCTAGCGTTACTCCAAAAATAGTCAAGTTTGGATTCAAGGATTATTTTGTCGATGACGCTAATAAGAAAACGGCGGTATGCAGGGTCTGCAGCATAAAGATCAGTGACACGACCACCACAACATCCAACTTCATTCGTCACTACAGAAAAACCCACAGAGAAAGGTGCGTGCATGTGTTGTGTTAGCAAAGCCAATGTTAAGTTTAAGCTACGTTAGACTTGGTTTCAAATCGATTAAGCATTGCAAAGAGAAGACAAAACGGTAGATTAACACTAGAACCTCCAAGCGATTCATTTGTACTAATGACGGGCTGTCAGGAGAGGGAGAGAGAGAGAGGAAAAGAGATGCCTCGTTTATTTCCCCTGTGTTATTATCAGAAGTTACTGTAAACTTTTGAATAATGTAGTTCATCTACTTTTAGTAGTTTGTTTAAATGTTTTAATTATGTTGTTTTTGTTTGTAGAAGTGCATCATTCCTTGATTTATTGTAAAAATGAATCTGAACTTTTTGATCTGTTATGATGATAAACTGAAGCAATTTCTAAATTAACCCAATTAAGTGAGTTTTAAATCATCCTACTCAGTTTATAAGGAAATTATGAAGAGGAACAAATTAAATGATTTGAAAATGATATCTATGTAGGTGCTGCCGCTGTTGGCGGTTCTAGTGTTAACAGACATTTAAGTTAAATATGTGTAATGGCAAATGCCATCTATGATTTCCTTACCTGGAATTCTGCCTTTTTGAACAGACTTTTTGAGTCCTATAGCTATATTGTCTGCAGTTCTAGGGTTAATATGAATCTAATATGATTGTCATCGGTCTAAATTAGATTTCAAATGATTAACTGTGTATGTAATGAAGATCATAGTGTGGGTTAAATCCATCATAACCACTGTCTTTTAACTGATTTAGATGCGGAAACTGGGCTTATTCATCAGAATTTCGTATGACCTGAGCAATGACTTGACTTGCTTGACCTGAGCAATGACTTGACTTGCTTGACCTGAGCAATGACTTGACTTGCTTGACTCTCACCACAGTGACTTGGGACTTGCTTGATACTTGTAGGTCAAGACTTGAGACTTGCTCATGACTTGCACATGTAGGACTTACTCCCACCTCTGGTTGTCCATAGTGCTAACCAGTTGTCCATAGTGCTAACCAGTTGTCCATAGTGCTAACCAGTTGTCCATAGTGCTAACCAGTTGTCCATAGTGCTAACCAGTTGCTTAAACCCCTGGTTGCTAACCGTGCTAACTGGGCACATGTCTTTAGCTATGTAGAATGTGATGGATCTGTTATATCTTTGCGTCTATAGCGTTAACCAGTTGTCCATAGTGCTAACCAGTTGTCCATAGTGCTAACCAGTAGGAATGGGTATCGTTTGAAATGTATCGATTCCGATTCTGCTTATCGATTCCAGTTCTTATCGATTCCCTGTTTCGATTCCAAAATTGTAAAAGAAAGAGGTCAAACGTTTAGATAACAAAAATATCTTTATTTTTTTAAGCTTTAACTGACATTTTTACAAATAAAAAATATACATGCAATACAAATGTGTTGCACAATAGCTGTGCTTTATTTTAACTGAGCTATGCCTGTGGCAAGCTATTAACAGGCATTACACTGTGCCTTGTCTTTTTTAGTGTAGTGAAGCATCACTTTAGAGCGTTTACCGTGATCCATCTTTGGTGTTATGAAGTGACTGAGCTCGTGAACTGTCTACGGGAGGGCGGGGGGAGCCTCGCTGCGGGGAAACTGTGGACCTCTGTCGCCGCTCATGATGCCGTTTAAAAAAATGAAGGGCGGTGCCGGCCGTCAGCGTACCAAGCCGGCCGTCAACGGCCCGCTGACGACCGGCCGTTCTGTGATTCTCCAGAACACACAGATGCCGCGGCGCAGACGGACCTGCGGCGCAGACGGACCCGGTGGAATACAGGGTCTACCGCGTTTAGGAACCGTTAAGCAGAACCGAAATTGTGTATTTTGTATGGGTACCCGGTACCCGGCATTTTCTTATCGGTTCTCATCTGGAACCGTGTTTCGGTTCCCAACCCTACTAACCAGTTGTCCATAGTGTTAACCAGTTGTCCATAGTGCTAACCAGTTGTCCATAGTGCTAACCAGTTGTCCATAGTGCTAACCAGTTGTCCATAGTGCTAACCAGTTGTCCATAGTGCTAACCAGTTGTCCATAGTGCTAACCAGTTGTCCATAGTGCTAACCAGTTGTCCATAGTGCTAACCAGTTGTCCATAGTGCTAACCAGTTGTCCATAGTGCTAACCAGTTGTCGATGACGGATGTGGTGGATGAAGTCGAGGGGGCAAGCTCGTGAACTGTCAACGGGGGGGGGGGGTATGGGGGAGCCTCACGCGGGAAACTGTGGACCTCTGTCGCCTGTCAGCGCAATTGAAATTATGACGTTTTAAAAAAGCAGTCCGGGCCGGCCGTCTGTGATTCTCCAGAACACACAGATGGCCAGTCCGCCCCTGCTGCACTGTATTTTTTTTTGTTCCACGTCGGACTCCTTAAACCCAAAGTATTTCCAAACAGCGGAATTCGTGTTACCTTTCTTGTTCACCAGTCGCTCTTGTTCTGCCATCTGCCAGCGCTGAACTCGCACAACTATTGTCTCTCACAACCTGGCCGAGAGGGCTTTTAGGGAGGGGCGAAAGCGCACGCAGCAAAATAATCGTTTTATTTAGATTACGTTGTTTTCGTAATCGTTGCAAGCCAAAATCGTAATCGAGATTAAAATATGATTAATTGCACAGCCCTACTTGGGCCTGAAAGGTTGGAAGTAAGGTTAGTGGTTACTAGTCTGTTTGCCAGCTCACAAAGTCCTAAGAATGTTGAGTACCCCAAAGTGTTATGTTAGAAATGTATAGCACATAGAAACTGCCGGATGCTAACTTGCATATATTGGGCAATTTGCACTATTACGGCCCGTCCACACAGCGGCGTGCGTTGACGCTTGCCGGCGGGCGTGTCTGACACTCAACCAACAACCAATCACATGAATCTCCCGCCCCAGACACACAAGCACGCGGTTTGATTGGCTAGAGCTTGTACTGGCATATGATTCGATTGGCTGACGCCTCCATCGAGGCGTCAAAAGTTGAACATTGCTCAACTTTTGAAGCGAGCAACGCCAGCAACGCTCCACGTCGCTTCCCAAAATGCAGTTCGGCTAAAAGTGACGTCACCCCATTCAAAGTGAATGGGCGGAAGCGTTGGAAGCTTCAACGCACGCCGCTGTGTGGACGGGCCGTTAGCATTAGTGAGCATCAATTAGCATATGCAGACGATAGTTACAAAATGGCTTGGCCGATTTGGAAAAATTTTGGAGTAGTTTTGGGGGTTATTGAGGATGTTGAATCAATTTCTGACATTTTCAGAATTAAATATGGCTGATATCTTTGATGATTTTAAAGTTTTAGGGGACCTCAAAACTGCCATTTCTGATCCTAAAAATTGCAGAAAACATCCTCAATATACCTAAAAAACCACACCAAAATTGTTCAACACTGCTGGCAAGTAGATAATACCCAAGGAATGTGTCAATAAATCTGCAGCTCAATGTCCAAAAGTTTGAACTCAGTGAAAAAACTCACACAGGTCTGATGTAAGGCTGGCAGATCCAGTGAGGGAAGGGCAGGCTGCTCTTCTTCTCCTCACCTCCATTTCCATTGGCTATCTCCTCCTGTGCAAACACACACAGTAAATAACTCTCAGGTATCCTCACAAAGATAGCTTTGCAAACACAACATTTTCAACAGTGCTGCGTGCTGTTACCTGGCAACGCAGCTTCAGCTGTTTGCTGACATCGGCCAAACCCTCCACGGTCTTCATTTTGGCCATGTCCTCTCTAAGGTCCTGGTGGATCTGTAGCCTACACACACACACATCCCACAATAAATCATCTGAGTGAGACATTGTTGATTTTCTATCATACTGTGACCCTCCTACAGTGGTGACCCTATCTCATACCTCCTTACAACTTCAACAAACTGGCACGGCAAGGTTGGGCAAAATGCCTTCATTTTCAACCAAAGTAGTTGTTGGAGCTATATATATTTATTAGGGCCGGGACTCGATTAAAAAAATTAATCTAATTAATTAGAGGCTTTGTAATTAATTAATCGAAATTAATCGCATTTTTAATCGCATATAAATATTTGACCTGAGAACAGTGAGAAGCAATTTTTTTCACATGGATTTTAGTATACCATTAGGCGCATTCACACCGCAGTACTTTTCCCACAAAGGTTCATGAGAATTTAGTTCATGAGAACAAATGAAGCCGCTGACGTCACTTCTTCTTCTTCTGCTTTGGGTTTACTGGCAGGCCGCAAACCACTTCACGGCGTATACTGCCGCCCAAAGTCCCCGGCCGGAAGTCCCCGGAGTTGGGGACTGGCTTCAGTAGAAGCTGCTGGGAGTCCCAGCAGCCTTCCGAGTAAATCGCCAGAACGCCGACACCTCCTCATCTCCACCGCTCCCATGTTTTATTTTGTGTTGCCATAAGTTAGTCTCTCTGCGTTTCTGCGCTGGGCTAATGCTAATGCTAATAATGCTAATGCGAGGATAATAAAATGGCGGCTTCACCAAACTTTTTGGGAGTTTTACGGGGCGTGGTTTGCAATCCGCCCAGCCAATCAGAAATATAGCTCTTTTCTCACAAGAGAGCCGTACGAAAGTCCCTGCTCTCTAGCAGCTCTCTGCTCTCTAGCAGGGACTTTCGTGGGGGTAAAAAGGTTCTCATGAACTAATTTTAGTACCGGCTCTTTTTGGTGTGAACCATAGACTGTATGGTGTGAACGCGATAAAAGAGGCTAACGTCCACGCTAGCTTCCACGCTAGCTGCTATATGTTTTTGCATTGAGGTGATACTTGAGGCTTGATGTGCTGCGGTGATATGCGAATTCCTTTTTGCATAATTTGCCCACAACCGTGCTCTTATCAACGCTTCCATCCGTCCGTTTTTTAAAACAACATTTCCCACTGTTGTTCACTGTGGTTTGTTGTTGTCTGAAGTCATGAACGTTAGTTGGTGCTCCAGTATAATCGGTACGCCTGAAACTCATCCAGTGAGAAACGTTCCGCGGTGCAAAAATAAGTGCGATTAAAATGCGTTAATTTTTTTAACGCGTTAATTTTTGTGTAATTAATTAATCTTAATTAACGCGTTAAAGTCCCGGCCCTAATATTTATTTATATTATTTAATAGTTGAACCTTTATTTTCTTTTTCTTTTTGTTTATTGTAAATGTACCTTTCATCTTCTCTGAAGTTGATGCTTTTATTTTGAAGGGAGCTTTGGGCACCTGGTGATTATGCATATATTGGAAACAGGAGGTGGTGGGATTAGCGCACCAGTGCGGGATATGCTTTTTACCAGTGTGAAACACCGATAGGGTAAAAATAAAGGGGTGTTACTTGCCGTACTTTTGATTATACTGGATTGGATTACACTAGCCTGGACTTGGATCATTCCGTGGGTAAGATTCGGTAGCTGGTGCCTCGGTTATTTATTTTGAGTTCATTCTCTATTTGATTTCTTGAAGTTTTTTCGCTGCTACAGGAGTGTTAGTTCTTACTAATGTCCAGTGGTCTTCAGTCAGTGCAATACAATTTATTTGCCGTGTCTAATGTGATTTATTTGGGTTCCTTTTTTTTTTTTTAAAAACACATTAGGGTTTCCAGATTAATTGCAATTCACGTTGACAGCCCTAACCCTAATTCAAATGCATACCAAATGGGCTCCTATACTCAGGGGTGCACATAACTTGTTTGCCCTGGTTCTCAAAGGAGCACCTGGAGATGTTGCTTGGTGCTCATCCTTAAAATGAAATAAACTAACTTTTGAGGGGGTCTTGACTTTATTTGCCAGACACACGGCACTGAACACACATGCAGAGGTGAACACAGAACACACATGCAGAGGTGAACACAAGACAACATTAGCACGACCAGTAATCCTACAAGCTGTCATCACTACCCTCCTGACTGTTCTCCTCACTGTCTTCCTCTCTGTCAGACATGGTAGCTGATGATGTAGGCCTACTTCTTTCTCTCTGGTTGAGTATGCGATTAGCTGCTGGTTTTGGGTCGAAAGTCTCTGTTGTCATCTTAGAAAAGTGGATGTAATCAAATAAGTATGTGAACATAACCAATAATCTACCATAGCCAATAACAAATTAATGTAACTTATTTTATTTATGTTGTTCATTCATATCTTATTTTACCTTAACATTTATTTATGCATTTTTTTTTATCTCTCCAGTTTTAAAGGATATTTTTGTTTACTGTCCTATAGTATACATTGGAATGATTTCAAACCTGTTTATCCCAATAATTATAAAGGAGTGCCTTGAAAATAAGTGTTTACATAAATTGTGACCAAACCGTTTGAACTTAGACTAAAGTGAACTATCTAAACACTCAGAGTCCTTACCTCATTGAGCTGTAGTTATCAGCCTCTCAGTCTGACTGGAGAGGACTCTCCCTCCACATTATTGTAGAAACATCTTCTTCTTATATCCGTTAAAGCAGCTAGCACCAGATTCTAATAACAACAGCGCCGGTACCGGTGCACCCTCCCTCTCTCCCTCGCTCACTCGCATTTTGGCTGCGAGTTGCGGGCGCCAGATAAGCCAACATCCCCCATTTTCCTCACTTACAGCGCCCATCATACAGGGCAAATGAAACGTGTAACCGGGGTGAAAAGGGTGTTACATTTACTTAATTGTGAATATTGTTACATCAAGGCCAAAAATTAGGATGAGCACCAACGGTTAAAAATGTTTTTTTTAGGGCCGGGACTCGATTAAAAAAATTAATCTAATTAATTAGATGCTTTGTAATTAATTAATCGAAATTAATCGCATTTTTAATCACATATAAATATTTGACCTAAGAACAGTGAGAAGCAATTTTTTTCACATGGATTTTAGTATACCATTAGGCGCATTCACACCGCAGTACTTTTCCCACAAAGGTTCATGAGAACTTAGTTCATGAGAACTCTTTGAACCTGGGGGTGGATTAGGCAAATGAAGCCGCTGACGTCACTTCTTCTTCTTCTGCTTTGGGTTTACTGGCAGGCCGCAAACCACTTCACGGCGTATACTGTCGCCCAAAGTCCCCGGAGTTGGGGACTGGCTTCAGTAGAAGCTGCTGGGAGTCCCAGCAGCCTTCCGAGTAAATCGCCAGAACGCCGACACCTCCTCATCTCCACCGCTCCCATGTTTTATTTTGTGTTGCCATAAGTTAGTCTCTCTGCGTTTCTGCGCTGGGCTAATGCTAATAATGCTAATGCGAGGATAATAAAATGGCGGCTTCACAAAACTTTTTGGGAGTTTTACGGGGCGTGGTTTGCAATCCGCCCAGCCAATCAGAAATATAGCTCTTTTCTCACAAGAGAGCCGTACGAAAGTCCCTCCTCTCTTGCAGCTCTCTGCTCTCTAGCAGGGACTTTCGTGGGGGTAAAAAGGTTCTCATGAACTCATTTTAGTACCGGCTCTTTTTGGTGTGAACGCGATAAAAGAGGCTAACGTCCACGCTAGCTGCTATATGTTTTGCATTGAGGTGATACTTGAGGCTTGATGTGCTGCGGTGATATGCGAATTCCTTTTTGCATAATTTGCACACAACCGTGCTCTTATCGACGCTTCCATCCGTCCGTTTTTTAAAATAACATTTCCCACTGTTGTTCACTGTGGTTTGTTGTTGTCTGAAGTCATGAACGTTAGTTGGTGCTCCAGTATAATCGGTACGCCTGAAACTCATCCAGTGAGAAACGTTCCGCGGTGCAAAAATAAGTGCGATTAAAATGCGTTAATTTTTTTAACGCGTTCATTTTTGTGTAATTAATTAATCTTAATTAACGCGCACCAGTTATGTGCAGCCCTGCCTATACTGCAGTAATACAGTATATACAGTACAAGTCTGCTATTTACTGAGTTCAGGTGTTCAATTAATCAATCACATTTTATTTATAGAACTCATTAACGCAAATGACACATTGTCTCAGGGGGCTTTACAACGTGTGGAGCTTACAACACCCTCTGTGCTTCCCAAGAAACCCCATCATTCATGTGGAATAATGTGTTATACACTGAACATGCCAAAACAAATTACTTATAATACAATTATATAATAATTACTTAAAATGTAGTAAAGTTATTGCTGGCAGTTACTTCAATAATTGTATGGGTTGACTTATTTTATACTGCTGCTTTTTCTTGTAGTTTTATCAACGTGTGCTTGTGTCTATATTTACTCTTTCTACGGTTTGTATTTTTTTCAATTTCCCCGCTATGGGAAGAATGAAGGACTTCTGATTCTGATTATAAAACTCGGGAAGTGCAACAGAGGAGAGGTCACTCTAGAAGTGGATAGATGTTGTGATAATGCAACCAAATATAAAGCCACACAGGTGCATAACATCGCACACAGCATGACATCTCCACAATCATCTGTGTGTGTGTGGTCATACATCAGACATACGTGTGGTGCCAGAGCTTGAAGAGGTGGGCTCGTACGTAGGACAGAGTGCAGGGGGGGTGCAGCTTCACCAGCTCCAGATACTCCTCCGCTATCTCCCACACCGGGGGGCTGCGACCCTCAAACAGCGCCGGGTTGTGGAGGTTCCCCTCTGAAAAGAATATGAACAGAAATTTGTATATAATCTATAATAATCTCCTCACAGCTCAATGCCATGACAACCACAGCGTAAACCTCCACCTGTCAGTCCAGAATGTCATTCCTTCATCATTTTGAAGAAATTCCCTCGTCATGATATGATATAGCCCTACTTTTAAATTCTAATTCGGATTGAAATCAACTTCCTTGTGTTTAAACACATTGTTCTTTTTTATCCATCTTTCAAGATTTTATTGACACAAAAAGCTGTTATCTGTTCCCTGTGCAAAAAAAAAAATGTTCACTTGTTTTTGCTCTATATCCTGCCCCATTTTTTTCGTATTTACTTATTTTTCTTTAACCCGCTGAGGTCGACGATGTCGCTGGCGACAGAAAAAAGTTTCACAACACTCGCGTGATTATCTCCGCAGCAGAGAGTTTAAGTTTCACTTTCAACTGCATGTTATAGCCCAGCACCATACCTCCATCCAATCCAATCCATTTTATTTATATAGCACATTTAAAAACAACAGAGTTGAACAAAGTGCTGTACATCAACAACTGTATAAAAACATAGCATAAATACATAACACATGTTTTGTACAATTTCAGGCGATTTGTCATCCATTCTAGAAAAACTATGTTTTTTGAGATTTCAAGAAGCCTGAAAAATGTGTATGGATGTCTTTTATGTACATTTATCCATGTTGGAAGTAGACTTTGAGTTTCAGGAGTTAGATAAAGATTATAGAGATGCAAATGAACAGGGAGTGTCATCCATAATAAAAACACTTTTTTTGTATTCCTTTTTTTTTTTACTCACCCCCTGGAGGTGTAGACAGTGTGATGTGGCCCTCTGCCTTGTACCAGACACAAACTGCATTGAGGAATGGCACAACTAATCTTGCTGATATAATAACACTATGACTTCTTTTGGTAAATACATATTGATTTTTTCTTTGAAATATTGAAAGTTTTCCCGTTTCAGGCGTTCCTCATAAATCTTTATCAAGATACAGGGACTGATGGACACTAACGCATAGCCTGAGCATGAATGTACATTATAGAAGATCACTTATTAACATGTAATGTGAAACAATACCTGCGCTCATGACTCCCTGCACTCCCGTCTCCTGAATGCAGCACTCCACGTCACTCAGGTGCTGAATGTTCCCATTTGCAAACACTGGAATATTTACCGCCTTCCTGCAGCACAAACACACCAAACCTGATTTGGTATAGCTATGATAGGAGCACCAGATACACTTGCAGGATTTAAAAGGAGGTGACTTAGCTTACCGTACTGCCCTGATGTGCTCCCAGTTAGCGATCCCCGTCATGGCTCCTTTCTGGTCTTTGGTTCTGCCGTGCACTGTCAGCAGCTGGGAAGATATTTGACAAACATTTAAACAACATCTTAAGCTTCCTGAAACAGATAGCAGATTGTACAGATTCGTAAAGACAGTTGATGAATTTGTTCTGTATGAACATGGTCCCACCTGACAGCCAGCTCTTTCCAGCATCTGGGCGTAGCGGACCGTCTTCTCCATCTCCTCGAACACACGGATCTTGCAGGTAATGGGCACCGAGAGCTTTTCATTGGCTAACCTGACTGAAACATGAGAGGAATGTTCAGAGACAGTAAAACACTTTAATAATAACTTCATAGAGTGGTGCAGTGATGACATATTTTTTGGAAGGCAAACCAGTAGTTAGCGTGACAACACTTTCCTCGAGAAAAAGCAATGGGATTTTTCCATTGGATTTGGAAATATTGCAGAAAATCAACATTTGAATGATACTTACATGTTTTGAGGATAATCTCCACACATTAACACCTTTTTAATAATTGAAGCAGAAATGAAATCCCCAGAAGTAAAAAGCTAACGTAACGCAATAAACTAAATACATGATGGTCACTCAATCAATCAATCAATCAATGTTTATTTATATAGCCCAATATCACAAATGTTACATTTGTCTCAGTGGACTTCACAGTTTGTACAGAATATCAGTATAACAATACGACACCCTCTGTCCTTAGACCCTCACATCGTACAAGGAAAAACTTCCGAAGAAAACCCACAGTTTAAAGGGAAAATGGGAGAAACCTCAGGGAGAGCAACAGAGGAGGGATCCCTCTCCCAGGACGGACAGACGTGCAATAGATGCCGTGTGTAAATTGAAAAGATAATACATTTGCAACATAGAGTCACATGACTTCATGTCACATTAGGCCACTTGTTAGCTTCCGATGTTTTTGTAACACATAGAAGCTTCAGGCATTCACCAGTGGGGTATTACTGACGTAGCTTGTCGTAGAACAAAACATGAAAATCTCTCCAGCTTGTGTTAACCTCAGACCTTATTACCGTGAATCTAACAAAAAACATGTTAAAAAAACATTGAATTCAAGACAGGGGAAGCGGAAGTGGTAAAATGCCAACTAATTTCCACGTTTTGGGACTCATTCCTGCACCACTCTATAATACACTGAATACACTGAGGTCATCCCGACAACACGTTTAAATCAGACTTACCCATCTTCTCTAGCAGCTCCCACTTGTCTTGTAGGAAAGCTCCATACTGCCCTGAGAAACAAGCATCGAGGGAGGTTATTTTTCTGCGAGGGGGGGATTTTCTGATCATCCACTAAGAGGTTTTTTCTGCAGCAACTGAGAGTACCTCTCTTTGCGATCATCTGTGGGCAGCCCAGGTTCAGGTCGATGGCGTCGCAGTAGTCCTGCGCCATCAGAGCCGCCTGAATGAACACCTCTGGATCATTGGCACAAAACTGACACACAAAGGAAGCAATGATAACCAATGGTAATGTCAGACAAAACGTGTGAATGGAAACTATCATAACAGAACTTGGAAGGTATAATAAAGATGGTGGTAATGTTCCATGAATCACCTGTGTGATAAGCGGTCTGTCCTCCTCACACACTTCATTGTAGAGGTTATCTCTCCTGTAGTTAGCGTCCCTAACAAACACCTGAGCGTGCAGCATGGGGGTGTAGCAGAGATGAGCGCCGTGCCTGCGACTCAGCAGCCGCCACGCCAGCTCGCTCTGGTCCACCATGGGGGCCACCACATATCGGGCTTCCTTCAGGGTCTTCCTCCAGAACTCAAAGGCCTGCAGCTTGGCCATCACAGCAGACTTCAACAGACAGGAAGAACAGAAAGTCATAAAGAGCCTGCAGGAAAGCTAACACACCAAGGAGGTCCTCCAAGAAATAAACTGTGAATAATAACATTTTAGCAACACATTCAGGTAGCTGTCAAAGCTTGGAAACATAATAATGAATGGTGTTGTATTCTGAAGTACAGCCAGTGGTGGAAGGAGTACTCAAATGTTTTAGTTGAATAAAAGTAGCAATACTTAAATTGTACCCTGATACAAGTACAATTCCTACATTCAAATCTTACTCAAAATATACTTAAAAGGAACAAAAGTAAAAGTACTCGTTAAGCGTAATGGCCAATTTAAGAATCATATTTGTAGTTTTACCAATATGCTGGATATCTCAAACTATAATTTCATGTAAAAGTGTATTTAATGATTTAGTTATATTTTATATTAGCTAATAATCTTAATCTGAAAAGTAACTATTAATTAAAAAAGTGTCAGATAAAAGTAGGAGTGAAAAGTTAAATACTGGCTGCCAAACTGTACTGAAGTAGTTTTAAAGTAGCATAAACTAAAATTACTCAAGTAAAGTACAAATACCTGAAAATGTTACCTAATTATAATTTGAGTAAATGTACTTCGTTACATTTCACCACTGAGTATAGCTTTCATTAGCATAACATTAGCTTATTGCTGTTAAACACTCGTGTTCTGTTCGAAACTGTATTATTATATTGAATAGCCCAACTAGCTTTATTTGCACTGCCACATTAGCACAAACAAAGTACACATAGTACTTAATTATGTTCGTGTCGAGTGTTTCTGTGTAACACTTCATGGTTGTTGTTATTATTATTATCATTATTGTGGTTTTTATAATTAGCTGTGTCTGGGCTGTGCTGCGGTTAGCTATCCGAGCTAGCAGCAGCTCATGATCGAGCTGCATGTGTTTCTCTGGCAGCGCGTGCACCGCCACGCTACAGTACCACCAGTAACCTGAGTAATACCCGTATGTACCTGTACTACCTATATGTCCTGTACTACTTGTACTGCTAATATATGCTGAGAGTTTGCCGTGTCACCTGCAGTACTGAGAGCTTTGAAGAGTATTCCAGGTGCAGCACTTTCCAAATATGTGCAACAGAGAAACACCACCGAGAAGAAACGTTCCCTTTCTATCGTTCCTACAGCTTTCCTCTTTTCATTTTGTTAGGTTCATTTGGAGCATTTCCGCCCCCAGCTGGTATGGAGTGTATACTATGTTTCTCATTATCAATATTACCATTATTTTTTTCATAATGGATTTGAATCATATACAGTCTATAATTTGAATGAATTAATAACATCCAATGTAGGGGCCCTTTTGTAGAACATCTATCAGATCATTGCATTGCTTTTTTCTTCCTCGATATAGTAGAAAATGCTGCATTATAAACTACTTTAAGGAGTGCTTTTCAGTTATGTCATTGTCTAATCTCTCATGTTTAATTACTTTAATCTCTGTGAAATCATCGCCCTTTACTTTCCTCCAATGTCTGTTAAATACTGCTTTGATATCTGGTTTGCTGAAGCTCATTGTGAAATTAATGTTATTATTTGTGTACCCCCTTTTGCAACCCTTTCTGCAATTGTATCCACTTTGATACAAATACTATCCATTAAAAGTGTTAGTCAATCCCATGGATGTAGGTCAATCCATAATTTGACCTTCTCCCTGTGGTTGTTATGCATAGTGGAAAAGACTCATTTAGACTCATTTCAAGATCGCAATGGAAGCAGTGCTTGAATTGGAATGAAAAAGGTGCCAGTACTCTAAAATCAGCAACTTTTTCAAGTCAATTTTATATATACAGCCCACAAACAAGAATTTGGCTACTATAATGCTGGTGGGTTTGTCTCTTTACTACTGTATATTTTAGAAAGGTTCACTGTACTTAACATTTTTTATGATAGGCAGCGGATATGGCTAAAGCTCAGTAAGGTCAATATTAACTGAAAATATAGCAATCAAAGTCTAGATCTTCTGCTGAAGACACATGAAGCAGAGACCTTTCAGGTGAGAGCCCCTCTGGTGGTGTTCAACATTAATGACAAGGAAACAAAGCTCTGGTCAGAAGCATTTTTTATAAAAAGCTTTAACAAAATTAAGTATTTCTGTACATTTTGAATGCAATCTAACTTTCCAACTCAGAAAACGAAAAAGTGCCAAAAGTCTTCTCACATGGCTGAGCTGCTTTGCAATATACTTCACCACTGAAGAATACAAATATGTATAAAGTAAACTATGATGCAATCTAACTTTCCAACTCAGAAAAATGATAAAGAGCATGAACAAAGAACATGTAAAAACAAATGCAAAATTTGCACAATCTAAAATGAGAAACTGTAACTGCAAGTAACAAAGTCTGAGCCATGGTAAAGAGTTACATTGAACACCAAGCTGATCAGATAACTCCCTGGTTGGTCTGAAGTCCTTCTATCTCCAGGATCTGTACAAATCGGCACATTATGCCAAAAGTCTTCTCACTGGGTGAGCTGCTTTGCAATATACTTCACATTGTTAGAAAAGGCTCCAGAAGGCCTTGGGGACATCAGTATCAGGGGCTGGAGCTGGACAGGCTCTTTCATCAGCACTTCTCCTTCCCTTTGCCAGCCAGGACCTCACATACTGTTCCGGATTGAACTGTCCTAGTGATGGTCCATTACATTTAATGAAAACCAGGCTGGACAGTCGGCTGACAGAGAGAGCATTCCTTTTTGCAGTAAGGATATCGTTCATGCAGCTGAATGTCCGCTCACACTCACTAGTGGAGACAGCGATGGTTCGGACTGCTTTCAGTAGAGGCTCCATGGCAGCAGGTGTACAGGATGCCCTGGTTTCCTTGTATTCGCGAAAGCCCTGAACAGTCTCTCTTCTGTCCACTTTCAGCACTTCGCACAAATGTAGCACCTCTACGTCCCCATACTGTACGTCTAACTCCTCTTCAGGCCAACTTCCAGGATGGATAACTTTCATGTCCTGGATTAGCTGATTGTCCCGGGCCTCCCGGCCATGTAATGGGATTTCTCTTGTGCTGACATGAGAGGACGTTGTGGAAGTCATTCTGTGTCTCAGATTCTCTACCATACTGCGGAAAAACTGACCTGCATGAATCTGTACAAGCCTGCAATTCTCACGCAGGGCAACACCCTTGAAGGACTTCTCAGCTAGAGCTGTATGAACTGTAGTCATGTGTGGGCCAGGCATGGTGACCATGGATTCAAAAACTCGTATTTCTCGAGTTAAGAGCCTATCTGCTGTAGGCAGTGTCATCTTTCTTTTTTGGAGTTGCCGAGAGAGGTCGCTGAGCTCTGTGAGCGCATCGTACATCAGTCCCAGATTGCTGACAAACGTTGCAGATGTGAGCACATCATCCAGGCCCTTGTACTTTGCTCTGTCTCTGGAATCCCTGCTCGTGTCGTTTGCAGCATTTGTGAAGTGATCATGAAGCACTCGGTAGTTTTCCCAGACTGCTCTGACGCTCCTTTCACTTGAAGCCACCCAGCGGATGGACAAAACACGCCCTATCACCAGGAGACGCTGTCCGACTGCTTGCGCACACTGCGCTAACTGCCTCTGATTTTTGGGGGAGGCATGGAACAAGGAATAGAGTTTGTCAAAAAAGATCTGGAAATGATTAAGCCCTGAGACCTCCTTGACCACATCCCCAACTGCCAGCTCTAGACGATGATTGGAGCAGTGCCACACAAACAGGCTTGGGAATTTACTACACAACTGGGTAGCAACGCCTGTTCTCTTCCCTAGCATGACTGAAGTCCCATCACATGCAAAAGAAACGAAACACTGACCTAAAAAGTCCTCGTTAAAATCTCTTCCAAGACACTCCATTAACGCCTTTGTGATGTCATCAGCCGTTGTTCCATCCAACTCGATCAGCTCCCAAAAAAACGTTTCGGGCTCAGCATCAGCTAATGCTGAGCGTAGACACACAACAAGCACCGTTTTACCACTATTAGTGGTAGATTCATCGACCAAAACACAGAGTTTTCTTTGGTTTTCTGTAATGTCTTTTGCCATTTTTTTCTTCAGCTCATGAGCTATGTGGTCGATGATTTCGCCACAGGTTTTATTGGAGTGCAAAACCCTGCCCACGTTCAGCCCATTCAGTTTCTGTACATTCAAATCAATTGGCATGTCTGTGAATGGCCGGCTATGTTTGCCAATTTTATATGCCGTTCGAAAAACTCTGATAGTGGTGTCTAATTCAGATTTATGCATAGACTGCACTTGATGTTGAATAGTTTCACGTGAAGCAGATGTAAGGATGTCAGCAGCTTTTACATGGGCTTGTGATTCTTTATGTTCTTTGATTTTTTTTCTCAGGCTAGCTTGTTGTTTGCCCTTGTCAACACCGAAATGAGACACTGCACACTCACCCCATTCAGTTGACAGTTTCAGTCCTTGTCCAGTGTGTATTCCCAAAGATTTGACATCTCTGCATATCCGACATCCTAGCTTCTTATCTTTAAGAAGGAGCCATGCATTGGTCTTGCAAAAATATTGCACCTGGTCCCAGGGTCGGCTCCAGAACAAATCGAATGGGGTGGCAATCATTTACCAAGGGGGGGCACACACTGCCGTCAACAACCAACACACAAACACCAACGCAACTTCAATTTAAAAAAACATGCTGTAAAGTCTATTGTCTTTCACACACATTGCAGGAGTGTAGTGCTATTGTATAGAGCACCTATGACCTGTGCAGACATGCACGGTTGTGGCACGACCACCAAAACAGAAACATATAAGGACAGAGGGTGTCGTTTTCTCATACTGATATTCTGCACAAACTGTGCTGTTGTATTTGTTGTAAAGTGTCTTTACTGTAGGGTATTTTTTATTATATGTACAGCACTTTGGCTCGACCAAAAATCGTTGAAAAATGTGCTATATAAATAAAACTTGATTTGATTTGATATGGACATAGGCCACCATATAAAAAGTATGCAAATGTATTTAGTATCCTATCCATGTGAACATGTTTTAGGTGGGAGTGGACCTAACCTCTAGGAGGGTCTGGGGGCATGCTCCCCCGGGAAGATTATTTTTAAAATATTGAAGTTAAATGCATCAATCTGGTGCACTTTGAGAGCAAAATGAAGAGATCTATGGATAGCCTACACCTCTCAGCATCCATATGAAACACAACTGTACACAGATTTACTTTTTCTTTATGGATATTTTACTAATCATTCCCCTTTAAAACTGTATTCTTGTGTTACTGTCCAATAGTATTTCATACCCGTTTTTCATGTATTCTCTCTTTAACAACTATAATGATCATATAAAGGTATTCCTCGAAAATACTTACATAAATGGTGACCAAACCGTTTGAGACCCACTGAGATAATTTACACTAAAGTGAACTATCTAAACACTGAGAGAGTCCTTACCTCACTGAGCTGACGTTATAAGATCCTCTCAGTCTGACAGGAGAGGACTCTCCTCCACCTTGGTGTAGAAACAGCACTTTATATCCGTTAGCATAGCTAGCTAACCAGATGCTAACAACATTCCACGTTACCACTCGCGCACTCACAAAATGCGCTCGAGTGCCACACAGAGCCGAGCTTGAATGAAACACTGTATAATCAGTACAACAGATGAACAGATCGCCACTGGGCTTTCATCTAAACACACAGCCACGTAATGATAACCAAAAAAAAGGTCGGGGGTCATTGGTCAAGCAACACACCAATCAGAGAGCAGCAGTGAGCACACCTCAGGCTGTGTTTTATATTTGTATTCTTTATTTCTGATGTATTTCACACAAAAAACCTTTAGTAGAAACGTTTTCACTTATATGATTAAAAAAAGAAAAAACGGCAAAGTGGCAAGGCTTGCCAACCCTGCGTTGGGGGGGCACAGTGACTCATTTGGGGGGGCATGGCCCGCGAATGACCCCCCATGACGCCGACCCTGCCTGGTCCGTTGTCCAGCAGTCAGGTGCATCGCTTTGCCCGGTGTTGGTGGTGGCAGTTGCGCCAGCAGCAGCTAACGTTAGAGGCTCTGGAGGAGGCGGCGGAGCTAGTGCTAATGCTAATGCACTAGAACTTGGAGCAGGAGGATCAACCAAAGAAAGCTCCCCATCAGACACA